GCATCATTTAATGTAATGCTATTTATATATACGAAGCATGTTATACTTATTAACCAATGTGCAAAAATCTAAAGTACAGATTTTATGTAATGGGCTAATTACAGGACTTTAAAGCCACCTACTGAGTTTTGCTAAGCTTAACAACAGGTTCACTGAACTGGATAAATTTATTCAAACTTGTGGAAATGAATCCCATTCTATGTGCAACCGTACTGGGAAAACACACAAATTATACCTCAATACCAGTTTAATGGGTCAAACAGTGAACCTGAATACCAAACTTATCTACAATCTTGCAACAGCAGAGAAGCTATAGGCCCTGGGTGAGGAGAGGAAGTGCTCATTCATAGTTTCTTCCTCAAGTTTGTAAATAACTCCCACTTGGTGCATGGGACAACCCAGATTTTCAGTTGTACAGTTGGTGTAATTTCTTATGGTGGTCTTTGAAGCTGCAATTTTAAAATGCAATAGGTTTGTCATATACAAGTTTTTGTATATGTAGAAGAAATACAAAAGATATGTTCCTGTGCTATATCTTCCTATTACCCCTATTATATGTGTGATTTATTTATTTATGTATTAATTTATTTGAATATACTTTTAAAACTGAGTTTACTTCAGTCAGTCATTTAATATGCATCCATTAGCTCTGAATTTCATCTAAATTGTGTGTTTATAAATTGAGTCAAATATAATCAAAACTCATCACCTGGATCTTTGTCAAAATGGAATGAGATCAGAGTCATGCAAAAAAAAAAAAAGTTATTACCATACTCTAAGATAACATTCAACTTTTGGCTTCACTATCTGAAGAATCCAGAAGATGCTTAGGTTTCCTACTTATTGTTTAAAGTTTTAAAGAAATTCATGAGACTTCTACTTTCCTTGGATATCCACACTTAATTTATTTCCATCAAGTAAGTCTGGATTTACTTCAGTGGAATTCATCAAACTAGGTTCCCTAGTATTCCTCTTTTTGCCCAGCTTTGAAGGCTATTTAAATTAAAGCAAAATGAAAAGGTCAGTTTTCTTATGCTAGCCACAACCTGTCCTTCAAAAATGACAAAGCAGTTTGCTGTTTTAAATACCACTATAGTCTAAGGTTCATATGTGATTTTTTCATTTCCATTGTTCTTCAAAGTATCACACAGATTATCTAATAAAAATCTTTCCTCAGAAATTGAGTATTCTGTTGCTGATATTTTATGTATCTATATTCTGTTTTGGATAACTATGCATAATCTATTCAGTGGCTGACATTTGGGTCTTGATAGATACATTCAAGCATGTACTTTCAGGAATAATAATGTCAGTGCACTGTGTTCTACAATGCGTGCAATGAAAATGTGCCTCATAAAGCCCGTAATTGTTGCTTAAGTTACAAAGATGATTTTTTTCCCAGTAAATGAGGAACAAGCCACATAATCTTGCTAACACTATATGCCCAGGAAAGAAGAGTTTAAATAAGAAATGCATAAATTTAGCAGACTGCTGTAACAAATGAAATGGTGTAGCATTGAAAACATTTGAGGCAATTAATCAATGCTGTGTTTGCACATATCATTAAATATATTATACTAAGTTTAGATTTGATTTCTATGCTTCTTTTATAAAGAGTTAAAAGAAAATACATTTGAATTCATGCTGATACTGAAAACATGCTCCTAGCTCCTAGTTTCTTGGATTTCGAATCATTTCCATTAACAAACAGCTATTTGCCCTCTAATAAAATATGTCATTATGCGTCATTCACATCACACAAAAGAATCACTGAAAAATCGCCCCAATGATGGCCAATAATTACACATTTTGCTCCTGCACGAGCAATGAAGAAATCTGTTCATTGGAGAAAGCAGGTGCTGGGGCATCATGCTAATAGTCAATGTGTGCCACAGTAATTAGCCATTGCAATTGCTAAAATTAACAATTAGCTAACATGCAATTCTCTTTTTGCAGGCTGCAGTTTACTTTGTATAATCCTTGTATGTTCTTAGTAATTATTCTGACAGCTTATTATTTTTATTTTTTCTGGTTTGAACACAGCTTTAACATTTGAATCAGTCTACCCAAATGTTCAACAGGCAGTATGAAACAACTGCTTCACTAGGCAATTTCTAAGGAACAAATTTGTTTTTATTCTCAACTTTGTATTGTTCAAGAAATACACAATTCTTTTGTAGAGTAAGAACTTCTCATCTTATTTGAGAGCTTGGGACCACAGTGAAGGTCTTGAGTCTTTTTTATACTGGTACAACATAGAGGATAATCCCAACTTTTCAGAAAAATTACTATGAAGTAGTTTCTCTGAAGCTTGGTTTCCAACCATTGCTTCGTGACCAGTAGTTGTCTGCAGAGCTGTTGGTGGCACTCTGTGGAAACTTGGCAGGTCACAAAGTTCTAATTCTCTTAGTTACTACTGTCAGCTAAATAACACAAAAAGAATCATGGCATATACCAACCTCTCAATGATTGTCATTTGAAAATGTGATTGTGTTATCCCTGGAGCTCTTTGATTTACAAACGTCTTCATATTCTATTAGGAATTCTTCAGATTCATCACTAGCGTGTGTTTTGGATTGTAGAAATAAAAAGAAACCCCACACCAAAACCCACAACCCAAACTTACTGTGGTAGTAAGGACTACCATGCACAAACTAATGGTATGTCCTCATCCTGAATGCTATATGTTGGTCTTGCAAGCCATCTCAAAAGAGAGTAATAACAATAGAGGTAGAAAATAAATTCAAGAAGGATGAGCTGTGGTGTGGAATGGCATTTGAATTGGGAAAACTAAACAGACTGAGCAGTATGGAAAATATTCCTGACTGAGATGCAGTAGTGGCTTAAACTTTCTCGGGTAGTGTGGAGAAAGTGAGTGAAGAAAACTAATTTTTTCTTCTTAAAAAATAGTTGAGAAATCCAACCAAATTGAGGGGCAATAAATAAAATCATTCCGTTTAAAAGGCTGAAAGAAAGAACTTTTTCTTATGATGCATAATTGAGTTGTGGAACTCCTTGGCACAGGAGGGCATTTGGGCAAATGACTAACAGAGCAAATGTAGGTAGGTCCCAAGCAGCACCCATGATTTACTCAAAAGTCTCTGAAACTGTCAGGATATGCAACTGTATTGCAAGAAAGCTCTGTCCACACATACATGGCTTTTTCTCGAATATCTTACACCTCATTCTAAACCATTGTTACAGAGAGGCTTCTGAGCTAGATTGAACTTTGAGTTGACCTGTTCTAGTCATCTTTTGTTTCACAAATTGCACGAAATCCTCAGTAATGGACTATAACAAAGATGCTGAAGACTTGTATTTTTTCCCTACATATTCAGGTCAAAATTCAGTTCACATACAAATCTGTGCAACTCAGTTGAAATCAATGAAGGCTGAAGTATTTGCATAGGCAGATGATACCCTGTTTTGCTTTGTGATTTCTTTAGTATTAGTAGTAGATGGGTAGAGATAACTGGACCCACTGAAAATACTGACAGCTAGCTAACCAGAAGGGATATATGCTTCTCCAGAACCTGCATAATTCCAGGGACTCCAGTGGAATTCTTCCCAATTTTATAGGTGTAAGTGAGAGGATAATAAGGCTCGGGGAATTTATGTAATCTTCTGTAATCAGTGTGGCATCTGTACCTGGCACCAAACCAAGAGCAGCTTTTTAAACAGTTCTTTAAAGCTCTTCCATGTTTTAAAAATATTTTAGAATGTGATTTGCTACTGTGCATGCTAACCAGCAAAACGTGTTAGACTGAAGTAATATATCTCAGCAACTGTAGTTTTTTGCCTTAGTTTTTAGTAAAAAATCTGAACACAGATGGAGTCAGAAAGCAGTGACAAAAACATTCTGTGAGATCAGTGTGATTTTCCCAAAGAAGACAGTGAGGTAGGAGAGAGAAACTACACTATGGCATCCAAGCTTTTACTTAAGACAATAAAGGCAGAAGGATCAGTTACAAGAGTCAGGATCTCAGTCAGGCATATTTTGACTCTACCCAGCACACTAGGCTCAGTAATTCTGTGACTTCCATGCAATATTACAATCAGTGCTAGGAAGCAGCTAATAAATTGAGACTGGAAAACGTATACCATTTCTGAGGAACTATCTGCTATTGAAGGTAATATTCTTGATGATTGTGACCTCTGTGGACTGCAATGAAAATATTTTCATAGATTTCAGATGAGAAACAAAACTCTAGAGTCTCAGAAAAAAAATTAGCCACTCATGGGCGGTTTAAACATCTACATCAAAGAGGGCAATCATCCAAGTTTATATGTTAAAGCCACAGGCACTCCATGCCTAAAGACACTTAAATTTTAACTGGAAAAAAGTCTGTGCACATCTAGATTGCTGTTTTTATCACGCTAAGTGTCGTTCTTCTGTCAGTGATAAGCAGAAGTAGTAGTAAACTGAGCTTCACAGTGGCCCTTGACAAAGGTATATCCTGCCTGCAGGTTCAATGGGGCAAAGGGCAGCACACAGGAGAGTGTGATTTTAACTTTGCTAGTCAGGGTTAATGAAAGTTCACAAACTTATGTTTCAGTTTCACCACCAAAAGAAGAAGGACTTTTATTAACATACTAAAGTGATGTGTTGGGTAGCCAAGGAATTTATACACACCTATTCTTGCTGCTTCTGATATCAAAGTTGAAAACTGTCCCACAACAGATTTTCTACCTGGTACAATTTTTCCCAGTCTAGTTCAACAGGAAGTATGTGTCAGAGACAAAAAGTTTCAAATAGATTCTGTCCCTTGAATTTGGTTTACATAGGTAAAAGTTCAGTGTGCATTTTCATAGGCGCTTTTGAAGATTAGAAAACTTAAATTAACCAGAAAAATTAAGACTTTCAGTTCTTCAGTGAATTATACCTGTTGGATAAACTACAAAAGTACTGTCATGGAGAGAGGACTTAGGACTTCTTCAGCTTGAGCAATTATTTGGAGTGCTAGGCTCAGTCATGTATCTCACCTTCCTGCTCTCTGTCCTAGCACACTTTCAGCTCTTTCCTAAAAAGCAGAATACTTTCCACAGGGACATTGGCTATACTTCTTTTGGTGGGCTTGATGACTTCCTTGGGTGCATGGAATTCTGAGTACACTTAGCTGTCTTTTGTACAGAGGCCTTCATGCTGTCAGAAGGAAGGTGTGGCCCTCAGCAGGTTCTTTACTGAGTGCTAAGAGGTCAGAATCCTGGGCCACTCTGCTGCATATACAGCTTTGTGGACCTAAAACACAAAACTAGGTTGTTTGAACCCAAGAGAGTAAGATTTAGAAGAAAATTTAGGAAACTATTTCCTCTGTAGGTTCCCCAAGTAAGCAGAAAAGATTTCACTGGAACACAGTAACTATGTAATCACCTTACAGACGACACCTTGTTGGGTCTTGAATTCATTAGTGAAGTATCTGTTGGTTGTGATGCATCCCATGGAGTTTGTTTCACAGCAAGCCCTACAAATAAAGGGGAAAACTAGAATCACTTCTAATCATTGCTTCATTGTCATGTTCCACATAATTTTCTTGAGAACTGAATGCTGTATCTCAGTCTTGGGGGAGACAAAGAAGGGGAAATGAAAAACTTAAGCTTGCATAGCAATAATAGAAATACACAGCACTTAGAAGATTTCTCTGAATTGAGGGAAATTCATCATTTTAACACAGTAATCTACCTTTATGTGTATACTTCATTGATATAGATCAGATCATCCCCATTAAAGCCATCTCAAGTTTCTTCAATAGCACACAGTGGTCCAAGTGATGGGCTCTAACATGCTATTAGGAGGGTTCAAGAAATATCATATTAGAAGAATTGTTTTTATACTACTCACATTCAGTCCAATCTATATAATATAATGGTTGCAATTGGAGTATCATCAGACACTAATGTTACTTTTCAGTAGCTACTGACATTTTACTTTGAGCATTCCTGCTTTAAAATGTTCATTTTGAGGACATTTGGGATGACCTGAAATTCACACTGAATTAAAGATAAGTCACAGATGTTCTGTATCCCACTGCAAAAACTTTGAGATCAGCAATTTCAAGATCATGAAAGATCATGAGCGATTGAGTTTAAAATTGATCTTTGGACTAAACTGAATATGACCACTGTTGTATCATAGTCCTTCTTAGAAAAAAATGATAGAAATTATCATATTCATGCAATTTGCTGATATTTACTCATATTCATCTCTATAATAAGTCAGCAAAAAAGATCAATACAGCATTAGAAATTTCAAAATCTGGCACACGGGACAAAACAAGGATTTTTGTGATCCCTTGGTGCCACTGGTGCAACATGAAGCTTTAGGACACTTGGACCTTAGCATGGCTCACCTGGCAATGAAACTTCGGTTTCTTGTTGAAATAAAGTATCAGTTCTCAAGATATAAATCAAGAAAGTTGATGGATTCACAGGGGAAAGCTTCTGAAAATCAATAAAAGATTTACTGTTGGCTTCAACAGGCTTTGGATCAGGCTTAGGTCAAGGTCTTCAGTTACATGAATGATACATGGCTGATCTCTCTGTGAAAGACACATATCAAGGACATGAAATCATGATTCCTTAGACCCAGCAAGTAACCTAAATGCCTGTATTTAATTTCATTTTTACTGCGTCTCAATACATGGGCACAAAATACAAAGCTAAATAATCTCCAGAACCAAGACCAATTACAGAACAATGAAGTGCATTTTATTTTACCATCATACCTGTTAAAGATATACTAAAACATACATTTACATACATACCTATAGTAAGATCTACTAAAGATATAATAAGATATACATCTTTTAGCTAAAAATGTTAAGACATTTGAAATTAATTATAATTTAATACTATCAACTATGTTGTAGAGATTTGTCCATTGAAAGGAACAACACTGTTAATTAAATGGACTTACTTTTTTTGTGAACCAAGGTGGATGTAAAAGGCAAAATGGCATGGTCTCCAGAATCTGCATAGTATGGAGTAAATATCTTGCAGCAAAAGGACAAATATATTGTAAGCTTCCTAATTTAAGATGCTGCTGTATATAAACCAAGGCATATAAAATTATATTTCCTTATATAGAGACATCTAATCAAACAAGAGCGAATCTACTGCCAACCACTTCATACTGTTTTGTGCTTTGATAGTAAGGGAAAGCCAAGTTTTCAGCCTGGGTCTAGCCTGACTCAGGCCATAACTTGTGAGTCCTGCTATTCTAACCCTTTCTCTTGATCTGCTTTTCAGCATGTCTTAGAGTACACAGCTCAAAGCAGCAGGGGAGTTTCTTAGCAAAGGGCCACCCACTTGCATATTATTCCTTCCTTGCCTGTGACATGACACAAGAACAAAGTAGACATTAACCGCTACATTAAACCCAGAAGGAAAGTAATCAGTAACCTGTTATTCCCTTAATAAAGGGAAACACATGCAGTGTGAAATCCAGAAGACTAATCAATAGCCCCAGACAATGCAATGTGCCAAACAAATTGCAAATCAATTAGAATCCTTGTTTTCTTTGAAATGGTTCACTATACCTAAAGCAATTACTCGTTCATTAGACCTAATTTAACAGCATGACTGCCCTAGCAACAACTGGCAGCGTCTGGCTATCAAATGGAAGAATGGCAGCTTATTTCTGTCTGTCTGTGAGTCTAACGCCAATCAAAAAAAAATTGAATTCCTTTATATAAGAAAACTTCTCATTAATGGGTAAAATATTTTCTGTGAAGGAAAGAATCAAGTATCCGGTTTGATTTGGTTGAGTTTGGTATTGTTAATTAAGTAAGGGAATAGATGTATGAAGAAATTCTGGAATTCTTAATATGTTTCAGTAAGTTCCAATGCTAAGATATACAAAAAAGGGGAGGAAGTTTTATATCTCCTTCCATAAATCCTTTGGGCTTTGGAAAAAACTAAGTCCTAGATGTGCTTGCATCAGCAGTATGTTTACTGCAATTGCAATGGCACAATAAGATTAGCGTGGTCCAGCACAGGATGATACAGATTTGCTAAATGGTCCATAATCCCTTTGATGGGCTCAGAGGGCATTCAGCATTTGATACAAACCCTCCCTATTGTCTTCCCTTGGCATTGGATCAGGCCCCTAATACCCTAACTACAGGTTTAAAGGGACGTTTTGATATTTTGTTTCCTGCTCTATTCAGTGTTATATGATAATAACATAGACATATGGGCCTTAAGAGATTTTTTTAAAGCCTTTAAGTTTTTAATATGTGTTCCTTTTTCCTCCCTGCAAATCTAAAACTCATGAAAGCAATTTTTCCCTCTTCCTCTGCTGTGGTGCACAAAAATCTCAAGACAAAAGGGATGTACTGAAAATGGGGTCGGCTGGCAGGAAACCACCTTCAGGAGAGGGAACTAGATGCCTTGCCATGCTTGTAGCACGGACATTTCTAACCCTTACAGTGAATAAAGGCCAATAGGAATGTTTCATACCTTTAGTGATTGGTACCAAGGGTGCTTTTAGGACCTAAAAACAGGTCCAGAGTTAGCTGAGACTTCCTCCTTTTTACTCTAATTGGGACAATGTACTGCACTGTCAAGTACACCTAGGGTTAAGACAGTGCACTGACAAAATGTTTGGGATTAAACCCCCTACAATTTTAGCCTGAAAATTTAACCACCTTTCCAAGAGGGTTATTTTTAATGGTCATGATTTGAAACCTTTATATTGTTTATGGACCTTTAAGGATGTCACATTCTTCTATAAAAATCCTTGTAAACTCTTCAGTATATATATATGAGCATATATAAAAATATACATCGCCTAAATATATATAGCCTATACATATATAGCCTAAATATATATGTATATATTTATAGCCTCAGTTGGAGTATATTTTTGTATTAATTGAAGTAATTTCTAATTTTCCGCAGATAAAAAAACCCTTCAAAATTATTTTAGAAAGCCTTTAAACATTTTGAGTCTATATTTAGTGTCAAGTTGATTTAATTACTTTTAGAACAGCTGCTGTTACAGGGAACTGGAGCTGTTAAAACTGACCGTAAGTATTTATCTGAAGATATTCAGCTTCAGTGTTCAGTCTTGTAGGCCTGCTAGACTTTATCCTTCTGGGTCTTGCCATCCTTTCTGGTAGTATAATACTCTCCCCCAGTGTAGAGAGTGTTAGTAAGATGATATTTTAATTTTGAGAAGATAATTTTTAATTTTGGGAGGAGTTTTTCTGGAACTTTGACTCTTATTTTTGAGGTCATCAAGGGCTGATCAGGAGATGGAAATGTAAGAGGTAAGTGCAGCAATCACAAAAATATAATAAATAATCACAGTTCCATATTTTACCATGTATACTTTGCATATGCATGTATATGCATATGCAAAGTATATATGGTAAAATATTTGATGTTTTGCTGTAAATTCAAAGATGACTCATTGTTCCTAACATCTTACACAGACCCAAGGTAGTTGAGCTTTGTCTGCTGGAGCTTAATCAGGTATTACAGACCCAAGCAATGCTTGGGGTTGCAACTTGACTAGCAAGCACAAATATGAAGATCCTGTCACAAAGACCTGGGGTCACTGCATCCAAGTACTCCTGTATCTTCTGGGATTTCTGAAGGCCAGTCTTTTCCTTGGAGCACAGACTAGAGGGTCATGAAAGGTACCAGGAATTCAAGGAATATGAAATTAACCACCTATTAACTTATTAATACTTTTAACAAAAGTAGAACAGTTGTTCATGCCCTCACTTTGATAGAAACCTTGAATATATGTTCACTTTTTTTTTTTTTTTTTTTTTCAAAACAAAAGTAGCCACTAAGCAATGGACATATAGTTCCTATCCTTGTATCTCATTAGAGCCTATGTGACTTAAGACTATGTACCAGCACTCTAGTGTGCAGGTATGGCAGCCTGAAACACGTTCTAAACGGTTTCTTCTAGTTTTGCCAGCATTTGGAACAAAACAGAATCTGAAACTAGCCAAAAGACATCTAAACACTTGTAACTGAGATACAGTCATTGCTTGGCTGTTGCAAAGTAACCTCTTGATATACAGTCAGTTGTGCCTTTTCATTTTGTGGGATCCCTCACATGTGAACTCTATTTTTTTTTGTATTTATCAGATTTCAGACATTTATTAGATTTTAGCACTGCTCTGTTTTGGAATTGAAGTCCTCTGTAGGTGGCTCTGTCACTTTCTCAATTTGGCACAGATTTTGAGGCAAGGCCTGAGAATATCTGCCGAATGTCTCCATGCCATGACATCAGGATGAGGGACCTGCTTATTGGCAGGTCTAGTCCTTGGCTCCTTTATCTGGTTGGTGGGAAACTCCAGACAAACTGTGGACCAGGGAAACTTGTGTATTTGATCTTGTGAGGATGTTTCTATGTGCAGTGCCCTGACACCTAGTGGATTGCATTTAGACCTTTCAAAAACCTCTGAGCAGGTGACACTTTGGAGTCTCTGTATGTCATATAAAAGGGCAGAGGCATATACTGGTCAAGGTGATGAACATGCTGTATGTGGAAAGCACCCACACACAAATATTAAAGGTAATTATTGCTGTTTCTTCTTATTCTTTTATGTTCTTTTATGTCTCTTATTCTATATGTTATATCAATTTTACAAACTTGAGTAGGAACCAGCACTTTCTGCTCTGCAATTACAAGTGCATTATTAAGAGCTGTAACAGACAAGTTGAAATGACTGCAGTATATTTAGGGTTTCTTCATGCTCTTTGGGCTATACATATAGCTATTCCACTTCCCATGCCAGAGGTAACCACCCCTTTATCAGATGTTTCAGAACTGAATATATATTTGTGCCTCAGATTATCTTGTCTTATCTTATCTTAATCTTTCAGCATCTCAGCTTCAAACTCCACATTACTTCTAAAGATAAGATTCATTTCACCACAATTAAGCGACTTAAAAGTGATGCACCCGACCTGCCTGTCTTTTAGAGTCCTTTTGCAGCTACAGAAGATAGTCAAGGAATTCCAGACACTGCTAAGATAATTGAGACCCACACTGTGCAAAGTGTGCATTTTATATTTAGATTAGTAGCAGATAATGCACATGATATACACAAATCATCCATACATTTATGATATATAATGTTTAGTTAGACTCAACGATTTGGTATTAGACTACCGCTTCCCTTGAAAGGTAATACACCTCTGCTTTTTTTTTTTTTTTTTTAAGAGTGGTGTTGGGGAGAATATAACTGGAATATCTTTTTATCTTCCAAAATAAACATTTTCTCTAGAGGATTTAAGAGTAACTGAGGACATTATTTTCAAATAGCAAAGCATTTACCATCTTTGTCTGACTTTACTCGTATAGTTTAAGACAGTAGTCACAGCTAAGCATCACTTTTCTCATTCATGGTTGGCAATGCACACATAGGTGGCAGTTGGGTTTCTTTGTTGTCTGTTTGTTACAAGGGTAATAGGACTACAAGGGATCTCAAGATGTCCTCTTACTGATCTTCCAGCCCCAAGGCAGAATCCACTCTATCTTGAAGTTGATTAGGCAA